CATCGAGTTGGCACGCGAGTACCCTCACGGGCGGGACGGGTCGGGCGGGCGGACCCTAGCGGGCGGGACAGGTCGGGTCGGGTCGGGCAGGACGGGTCGGGTGGGTGGCCCTCGATGATGAATGAGGGAGGAGAGGGGAGGAGGAAGTAGGGAGGGATGAGGGATGTGGGGCGGGGGGACGTAGAGGCAACGAGGGATGGGGGAGGGCGGGAGGGCAGAGAGGGATGGATGAGGAGGAGGAGGAAGAAGAGGAGGAGCAGCAGCAGCAGCAACAGCAGAAGCAGTGTAATGAGAGAGAGTAGCAGGAGGGAATCGCCTCTGTGGAACCCGTCCTGTGGAACCGGTCCTGTGGAACCAATCCCGTGGAACCGGGCTTGTGGAACTGGTTCTGTGGTACCGGTCCTGCGGAACGGATCCTGTGGAACCGGTTCCGTGGAACCGGTTCTGCGGAACCGGTCCTGTTGAACCGGTCTTTGTTGAACCGGTCCTTGCTGAACTGGTCGTCTGTTGAACCGGTGTCTGTTGAACCGGTCGTCTGTTGGACCGGTCCCTGTTGAACCGGTCGTCTGTTGAACCGGTCTTCTTCCGGCCCAGAGGTGCCTGAGCGACGATCAAAAACAAGTCTTCCGCGAGATGGCACAGCGACCTTACGCCGCGGCTTACAGTTGAGGCCAGTCCACACGAAACCTTCCACAAGAAACCCAACCCTGAGACCCCCGGACGTCCCTTGATTCTTGGTGTGGCAACGCCACGCTTTCCATAACTAACAAAACCATCGAAATCCAAGGAACCCAGGGCACCCTGGAGGCAAGCAGGGTGTTTCTTGGCACGGGTCCCCACTGCACGCAGGCCGCCAGCGCGGCACGCGCCACTGGACACGAGAGCGCCTACGCGCGAGCTTCCGCGGGCAGCTGGCGCGCCCACGCCGGCGCAGACGACCCCGTGTTCTTGCAGCGCCCACCTGTGCGACATCCTACCAAACGGTACGATTCGGGTACCTCCTACCCGAGCGATGCGATTGGGGGGTCGATTAGGGTATCCTACCCCAAAATCGGTTTGCCGGGCGAGCTTGCGAAACACACGTAGACTGGTGTCGTAGATTGGGCGTGTCGATCCCCTAATCGAATGATGGGGGCGAATAGCCCAGGAGAGGGCAACGCAACCAACCCGTATCCGAAGGGCGCACGATTAGGATGCAAGCGCCCTGGAAAGCCATGTCGGCACTCTGCGAGCCCGGCGCGGCCAGCGAAAGCGGGCGGCCAAGGACGATCCGACGGAGAAGCATGCAAGGGGACCCTTGGAAAGTCGTTCATCCTTACACTGTGTGGGCCCACAATAAGACGAAGCCAGGACGAGGCCAAATTCCGGCGAGGAGAAGCCGAGCATCTCTACGATCGGGCGGTTCTGCAGGATGTCTCGGGCGCCGCGACCTTCTCAGAGCCTTCCAGAACGCTCTCGAAGCTTTCCGGACGAGGAGGAGGAGGAACAGGAGGAGCAGGAGGAGGAAGAAAATGGAGGAGGAGGAGGAAGAGGAGGAGGAGAAGGAAGATGAGGAGCAGGAGGAGGAGGAGCAGAGGGAGGGGAGGAGAAGGAGGAGGGCGAAGAGGAGGAGGAGGAGGAGGAGGAGGAGGTAGGGGAGGAGTAGAGGAAGTTTTAGTATTAGGGAGGAGGAGGGCAGGAGGAGGATGGAGGCCAGGAGGGAGGAAGGCGGGAGGAGGAAAGGAGGGAGGAGGAGGAGGGGGATGAGGGGCAGCAGGACGAAGACAGGAGGGAGGAGGCAGACAGAGGTAGGAGGAGGAGGAGGAGGAGAAAACGCTCTGGAGCGGCTTTGTCCTCGTCCTGGGCCCGCCCGACCACCTGAGCGGCCACGGCTGCGTTGGCCGCCAGCACCACCACGGGCGGCGCCGCCTGCAGGCACAGCTCCCGCAGCCGGGCGAGCAGACCCGGCCGCGCGGGCCCAGGGACGATGGGCCGATTTCCCACCACCACCACCACCATAGGTAGGATAGGCAGGAGGTGGAGGAAAATGAAGAGGAGGAGGAGGAGGAGGAGGAGGAGGAGGAGGAGGAGGAATACCCGGAGGAGGAACAAGAGGAACAAGAGGAACAGGAAGGAGAAGGAAGCGGAGAAGGAGGAGGAGGCGGCGGAGGAATAGCTCCAGGAACCGGAGCCGGAGGAGGAGGCGAAGCGCGGAAAGACGAGAAGGAGGAGGAAGGAGGAGGAGGAGGAGCAAGCGGAGGAGGAGGCAGGCAGGAGGAGGCGGAGGAGGAGGACGAGGAGGCTAAACACTAGGAGAAGAGGCGGAGGAGGGGAACGACGAGGAGGAGACGAGGAGGCGGAGCAGGAATAGGAACGGGAGCGGAAGGCGGAGGTGGGCGGACGACGACGAGAAGGAGGACGACGAGGAAAGACGAGGAGGAGGTGCAAGGAGGAGGAGGAGGCGAAGAGGTAGAGGCGCAGCAGCGCACGACATTGAGCAGGCGGAGGAATGAGGAGGACGATGAGGAGGACGCCGAGGGACGGGACGGGGGAGGAGGTTGCGGCGGAGGAGGAAGGAGGGGAACGCGGAGGAGGAGGAGGTGGTGCGGGGGGAGGAGGAAGACAAGAGGAGAGGAGCAAGAGCTAGGAGCCAGGAGGGTGGAGGAGGAGCAAGGCCAGAAGCAGGAGCAAGAGGAGGAGGAGGAGGCGGAGGGAGGAGGAGGAGGCGGAGGAGGAGGGGAGGACGAGGAGAAAGCGGAGGGAAGGAGGAGGAGCCGCAGCAACAGCAGCAACAGGAAAAGCAGCATGAGGAGGAGGATCACGAAGAGGAAAAGCAGGGGGATGAGGAGGAGGAGGAGGAGGAGGAGGAGGAGCAAAAGGAGGAGGAAGAGGAGGAGGAGGAGGAGGAGGAGGAGGAGGAGGGGAAACAGAAATCCGCCGATCCTGTCGGCGTGTGTGGAGGGGCTTGTCCGTTCAAGTCGTCATCTCCGTCATTCGTTGGTCGTCGTCTCTGTCGCCCCCTTTCCCTGCCTCCCCCCTTTCCCCGGGCTCGTCGAAACTCCCCCCTTCCCCAAGGACCTCCTCAGCGCGACAGCCAGAACAAAAATAAGCAACGTCGCAATCGAGTCGAAGGGAAGCCCGTTCCCTTCGATCCCTCCCCCGCCGGGGGGGGGTCCCGGGGGGGGGGGGTCAGACGCCCCGGGGGGGGAGGGTCAACTACGACGCCCCCCCTGGGAGTCCCGGAGCCCAAAAAAAACACCAAGACGGGCCGAGAGTGCCCCAAGAGACCCCGCAGACAGTCCAAGAGAACCCCGAATCGCCGAACGATCTGTCCAAGACGCCTTGACGGCCTCCAGACGGCCCACATCGCCTGCGAAACGCCCATAAGAGGCCCGCAGGATCTTTCTCACGAGAGCCCCAGGAGGCAAGGATCCCCCCTACGTTTTTGAAAGATGTTGGCGTTTTTGCCTCTTCCGCTTCCCGACGCGCCAAGGCGGCCCAAGAGGCCCCCGAGATCACCCCAAGGCAGGCCAAGAGGCCCCCAAGAGAGCCCCCAACGGCCGAAGAGGGCCCGAAACGGCCCAAAACGCCTCCACGACGGCCCAATCGGCCCCCAAGACGGCTCCGGGAGAGTGCCCAGACGGGGGACCCGGAAGGACATTTCGAGCTCTCAACCCCAGGCCCCGAAGGAGCCCCAAGAGGCCCCAGGACGCTCCCACGGGGCCCCCCAACTGCTCCAAGACAGCCCAGGAGAGCCAAATTGCCCAGGAGGCCTTCAACACTGCCTCGGGACGGCGCAAGGGGACCCCTGGACGTCCCAAGACGGCCTCGGGAGAGCCGCAGGCTGTTGCAAGAAAGCCTAAGGCCTCCTCCTCCTCTTCCTCCTCCCCCCCCTCCTCCTCCTCCTCCTCCTCCACCTCCCCTTCCCCCCATCCTCCTTCCTCCTCCTCCCCCCCTCTCCCCCCCTCCCCCCCCCCCCCCCCCCCCCCCCCCCCCCCCCCTACTCCATATTCCAACCTCCCTCTGATCCCCCTCCCCCTGCTCTACTATGCCCCCTTCTCCTCCCCTCGTTTCTCCTCCACATCCTTCTCCCCCCCCCCCTCCCTCATCCCCCTCCTCCACCCTGCCCCCCGCCCCCTCGTTTTCAGATTCGTCGCTTTCAGGGCCGGCGGCAACGGCCGCAAGGCCCTCGCAATAGGAGCAGGAGGAGGAGGACGAGGAGGAGAGGGAGGAGGAGGACGAGGAGGGAGGAAGAGCAGGAGGAGCAGGACGAGGAGGAGGAGGAGGAGGAGGAGGAGGAGAGGGAGGAGGAGGAGGAATGAGGGGGAGAGGAGGAGGAGGAGGAGGAGGAGAAGGAGGAGGAGGAGGAGGAGGAGCAGCAGCAGCAGCAGCAGCAGCAGGAGGAGGAGGAGCAGGAGGAGGGAGAGGAGGAGGAGGCGGAGGACGAGGAAGAGAGGGAGGAGGAGGACGAGGAGGAGGAGGAGGAGCAGGGGCAGGAGCAGGCTCGGTTCGGCCCCTCTGCGCGGCGTGATCCTCGGTGCGCGGCGAAAATCTCAGGCAGACCTGGTTATATCGAATAACCAAACTTTGATGAGCGCCTCGCAGCCTTCCGCGGGAGAGGGAGGGGGAGGGAAGGGCAAAAGGAAGAGGGGGGAGAAAGGGCCCGGCCAGCTGCCGACTGCGCCCGCGCCGCTCCAGCGGACTCGCCGGAGGCCGCCACGCGGGGCGGGCTGGCCGCTCACTCTGGAGCGACACATGGAATGACGCGAGCGCGCACATGGAAGATAGACGTTGACAAAACGCTGTTTTTTTGCCACGCCCCAGCAACGGCGAGGACGAAAGGGGGGCGACAGCAGGAGCGGGGACGACGGGCGAGAGGAGCGAGAGTGGTCGCGGAGCCGGGAGAAGAGGAGAGCGCAACAGCAAAAAGCCGCGGAAGAGAGGCGAGGACGGGGAGGAGAACGCGGGCGAGCAGCGGAGGGGGGCGTGGCAACCTGGAAAACCACATGATTCTCTCAAGCCTGCGATGGCAGACGCTGCCGGAACCACTGCTTGTCCATTCCTGGCCGGGTCAGGAAATCCTGCGCCCTCTTCTCAAAAGAGCCCTCGGGTGCCTGGCCGCACATGCGTTTGGCCTGCTTCTTCGCGTAGATGGCAACGATCGCGGCGCAGACGTGAGCCTCCATTTCCTCGTGTCCCGGGCCGCTCAAACGGAAGCGCAATTTTTCACCGTGTCGTCATGCGCCTTGCTCAACCGACAGCAAGGAACGACGGCCTGCAACGCTTCTGCGGACGGGCCTGGCTCTGACGGCGGCGGAAACTTCTCGAGGAACTCATCGAAAGTTGCATGGCTCCAGGGAGGCCGCGCCCCCGACCAACAACACCAGCATGGCGACGAAACACGGCGGATCCAGACCGCCTTCGCCGTGCCCTGGCCTTCCCTGGTGCGGTCTGCATGCTTCGTGGTCTGGGTTGCCACAGACTGCGCGATATCGATGGTGACATCATACAAGAAGCACACGAAGGTGACGCCCATGACGGCCCTTATCTCCTGCGCGCTCTTCAGACCGAGCTTCGTGATGACTGCAATGAGCTCCCGGATCAAAGCTGGCTCGTCGCCTCCCCCACCAGCTCTCTTCTTGGACCTCGGCTCGGCGTCCTGGCCGAGGAACGGCTTCCACGCGTCCATGTTACAGAGGGCACTCGAAGCCAAACCAACAATTATCAGGAAGATGAGCTTACAAATGAAAAAAATCTTGCTCAAACATATTCGCAAAACGGGCATTCGATGGGATACAACAGTGGAATGACCTCTCGTACCGTGTTAGATCCCTTCGACCACGCCTCCCTGCAGAAAACCACGGCGAAGGCTCGCTTGAAGGTGACCCCGTGTGATACGTTTAGTAGCATGTACAGCACGACATCTGATACATTGATAGGTACGTGTAAGTACATGTGCCAGCCAGTGGATGCCATACCCACCCCTGTCTACTCTGTAATTGATGTACACGTAACCCTTTGGCTGTATTGAATGACTGCCTGCACACATTCCCACACACATTCACGATATCACATACGTACTGCACATTACCATCAGGAAGATGAACACAACAAGGATGAAGATGAGGAGGATCAGGATGATCACAAGATGAACACAACCAGGATGATCCTCCTCCTCTTCATCCTGGTTGTGGGCAGGAGCAGGAGCAGGAGGAGGAGGAGGAGGAGGCGGAACAGGAGCAGGAGGAGGAGGAGGGGAGGAGGAGGAGGAGGAGGAGGAGGAGGAGAAGGAGAGAAAAGGAAGGAGAATGAGGAGCAGGAACAGGAACAGGAGCCACGAACAGAAGCAGAGGAGGAGGACGAGGAGGAGGAGGAGGAGGACGAGGAGGAGGAGGAGGAGGGTGGAGGAAGGAGGAGAAGGAGGAGTAGAGAGGAGGAGGAGGAGGAAGGAGCAGCAGCAAGCAGCAGGGGAGGAGAGGAGGAGGGAGAGGAGGAGAAGAAGCAGGAGGAGGAGCAGGAACAGGAGCAGGAGGGGACGAGGATAATGGGAGGAGAAGCAGGAGCAGAAGCATTGAGGAGGAGGAGGACGAAGAGCGAGAAGGAAGACGTGGAGGGAAGAGAAGGAGGAGGCATAGGAGGGCAGGGCCAGCAGCAGGGGGAGGAGGAGGAGCAGGAGCATGGAGGAGGAGGAGGAGGAAGGAGGAGGAAGGAGGGAGGGGACGAGGAGAAGAGGAGAAGAGGAAGGAGACGAGGATGAGGAGGAGGAGGAAGAGGAGGAGGAGGAGGAGGGGAGGAGGAGAAGAGAAGCAGCAGGAGGAGGAGGACGACGAGGGGAGAGGAGACGAGGAGGAGGAGGTGATGTTGGCCTGCCGAGTCTTTTCAGGTGCAGGGCAGGGGCAGGAGCAGGAGCAGGAAGAGCAGGAGGAGGAGGAGGAGCAGGAGATAGGAGGAGGAGGAGGAGGAGGAGGAGATGTAACCGGGAGGATGGAGGAGAAGAGTAGGAGGTAGCAGGAACAGGAGCAGGAGGAGGAGAGGGAGAAGGCGAGGAGGACGAGGAGGACGATGAGGAGGACGATGAGGAGACGAGGAGGACGGGGAGGACGAGGAGGCGGGAGGAGGAGGAGGAGGACGAAGACAGGGAGGAGGAGGAGGGAGGAAGAGGAGGAGGAGGACGAGGAGGAGGAGGCAGGAGAGGGGGACGAGGAAAAGGATGAGGACGAAGGAGGAGGAGGAGGAGGAGAAGCGCAGGAGGAGGGAGGAGAGGAGGAGGAGGAGGAGGAGGAGCAGGAGCGGAACCGCAGCAGGAGGATGAGGAGGAGAAGGAGGAGGAGCGTGAGGCGCAGGAGGAGGAGGAGCGAGGAGGAGGCGAGGACGAGGACGAGGACGAGGAGGGAGGAGAGCAGGAGGGAGAAGGGGCAGGAGAGGAGAAGGAGAGGGAGGAGGAGGAGGAGGGAGTGGGAGAAGAAGAGGAGGGAGGAGGACGAGGAGGAGGAAGTTAGGAGGTGGAGGAGGAGCAGGAGGGAAGGAGGCACGAGGAGGAGGAGGAGAGGAGAGAAGGAGGAGGAGGAGGAGACGGAGAGGAGGAGGGAGGAGGATGGGGAGGGGGAGGGAGGAGGAGGAGGAGGAGGAAGGAGGAGGAGAAGGAAGAGGAGGAGGAGGAGGAGGAGGAGGACGACGACGACGACGACGACGACGAGCAGGAGACGGAACAGGAGGAGGAGAACGAGGAGGAAGACCTCCCCATTCTTCCTTCTCCACAGTCCTACCTATGGTAGCAGTGGTGGTGGACAATTGGCCCATCAAGGGACCCAGGCGGCGACCGGCCACGCGAGGTTCGGGCGTCGCCAGAAGTCGTCCTGGCCCACTCTGAGATCCTGGCGTCGCAAGTCCTTCGAAGTCGGGCGTCTGCGCGTCCGTCTTTCCGGGCCGCAGGTTGACTTCACAGGCTGAGCCGGCTCGAGACAGGCCGCAGGACGATGTGGTCCGGGGCTCTGGTCGTGATGTCTCCAGATTGTGCTTCGCCTCCGTGCCGTGGGGTCTATCAAGGAAAGTGCTCCAAGCTGTTGGTCGGGAATCTTCTGACCCGGTCAATCCAGACTCGGGTCAGCAGGAAACCAAAAAACTGCAATGCAAGAAAAAAACATA